TCACCATCCATAGAAGGAATCTCTCCTCTATATGTTTTTTAAATTCACTTCTCTTTTATCTCAAGATCATTTTGAATTTTCTTTTCATCTTATAGAATATTAACATCAGTTTACATCATCTATTAATTTTATAAATCCCTTCATTCGACTCATTAATATTAAGAAAAATAATCCAGGGCTAAGCTTTCTGGTATCCCATTTTATATCTCATTTCAGTTTGAGAAATGAAACTCAGTTCCGTTTCAATAATGGTTTTCGAATAATCTGTAGATCCATATTACAGAGTTGTGATTCAGCTGATAATTAACTTGCTAATCAGACTGTCATAGAATAGTTGATGAATTTTTTGCTAAAGTCAAGATATGTTACTCCTATTGCATTTCCACAGTCTTACAAAGGAAGCTACCTGGTAAAAAAATAAATTAATTTTGAAAGTTTTGTTCTTAATAAATCCACCTTAACTTCTAGTATTTTCCATATTATTTTCAAGCAAGCCACTTAACATTAATTGCTTTAAAATCAAAATCTTCCCAGGTATCAGACTGACTGGTCTGCAGTTCCTTTTTTCTATAAGGACACTGCATTCCTTCTTCTAGTCATCTGTTATTTCACCTGGTTTGCAAAGTTTTGGCCAGATCTTCAGCAATTTCCTTTTGTTCCCTAGGATGCAATCCATCTGGCCCTGGAGATTTGAACTCATTCAAGGTCAGTATCTGGCTAATATTTCTCACAAGCTTGAACTGGAAACCTGTTCCTTCCTTGGGTTCTTCGTAATTCCCTGGTGGAACACATACTCTTTTCTCATAGAAGATTAAGCTAAAATAGTTCTGCCTTTGTTATCTGTTATCATTTGCCATCTTCAGTTAGCAGCTTATGTACTATTCCCCCCCCCCCGCCGCCTTCTCTTTTATTTTAAACATACCCAAAGAATCTCTTTTTTGTTATTCCTGAGATCCTTTGCTAATTCAGCTTATTCTGAGCTTTTGTTTTCCTGATATATTCTCTGAAAATTGTGGCTACGTGTATGTAGTATTTCTTGGTGATCTAGTAGCTCTCTATTCATTTTCTTTTAAATGCCATTTTAGGGCTTATCACATGTCTTGGTTGTTGTGGTATGAAGACACCCCACTTACTTTTGTTAAGGGTATGTTCTCACAAGACAGTTCCATCTTGTCAGCAGCTTGCTTCTGAGAGGCAGAAGTTGGACTAAGGTGTGCTGGCACCTTATTTTCAGTTCATTGCCAACAAAAGACCTCCCCCCCCCCCGCCACAGGCATTTAAAGTCATATGAAGGAGGAACCCTCAGAAATCAGTGATCTTCTGTGCTCCAATTGTCTGGTGCAGACTGCCTCCTCCCATCCATCCAGTGGACTCTGGACCTCCATGGCTCTTTTGGTGTAGTAAATAAGAGAGCCAGGCATCTCAATTTTTTTTTGCTCTAAATTAGAAGAGAATATTGTAAATTAGACAAGAAAATATTGACCTTGTGGAAAACTGTCCACAAGTGTACCAGCAGGTCAATATTCCCATTGGCAAGCAAAAGATTTAAAAAAGGGAGAACTTCAGCCAACAACTTTTCCTCCTGTTTGCAAATGAGTTGAGGGAACATGTGACTGCAGGGCAAGTTAAATGGGAAACTGTGTGCCTGTATGTATGCATCTGTCTGCATGCATGTGTTTGTATGTATATAGAGAAAAATCTGAATTGAGAAGCATTCTGGAATATTCTTTCATTCCTCTATCCAATAAATATAAAATTGCTCATTCCATTGGTTGCTTTCCTTGAGATTTGACTCACTGGTAAACACAGAGGCAGTGCTGATCTAATTATATTTATTCTGAAGTAAGGCCCATGTATTCAGCAGGAGTATCTCTTAAACAAAGTGTGTACAGGAACAAAAGCTAAAGTATGATGGAGATGGGGAACAACATCCCAGTTTTCCAAACAGGATGTTTGAAGTGGTGAATCTCACTTGTTCACATCTGTGAAATCTTTGTTCCATTTTAGAAGCATTCATCTCTGCTAACACTCATAGGAGGAAGGAGAAAAAGCTGTTTGGATTATCCTCTGGTCAGGGCCCCAACAAGGAGGAGAAGCACGGCACTCTTGACAGCTCTCAGCTAAAGGAAGCTCTCAGCCCTCCTGTGTAACCCTGACCTCTAATCATGCAGGATTTTTCACTTTTAGAGTGCTACACCAGATGCCTCTGATGGCTGGAAATCGTGTGATTTCCAGAACTAGTGTGGTGAAAGTTATAATAATAAAGTCAAAATTAAGCAATACAAAACTAAACTGAATGCCAAATATGTTGAGGGGAGTAATTGATGGTAATCGTTCCTGTTGGTAGATAGCAGTAGGTGGTAGAGCAGACATGTCCAAAGTCCGGCCCGTGGG